ACTATGAGCGATGTTTATATATAGGACGATGCTATAGATTCTATTAATACTCTTTTTTTAATAAATCACAATGTGTAATTATTTATCAATTACATAAATATTACATGATTAGTTATTTAATTAATCAAAAAATTACATCTTTATTAATAAAAATTTAATTCTTAACCAAAAAAATTATATATAAACTAAGCAAATGTGCATTACACGTTGCTTAAACCTAGTAAAAAGATAAATGTGTATTAAAATAAAACAAATGCTTCAATTATTATTTAGTAAAATGTGACGCTGGACCTTTTAATCGCTGTAATAAAGATTTTTTGAGTAAAATTGAGACTTTCACTATGTTTAGTGAGTTTGGAACATATTTGGTCCAAGCAGAATGTTTTTGTAAGGGCAATTTGCACATAACGTCTCCATCTTTCATTTTTTGATATTTTCACCATTATTTTCACTTTTCATTGCGATAAAGGTCATTTTCACCTATTTTCTCAATTAAAAATTATGAAATGAAGCATATGCCACTTTCTTTAAATAAAACAAAAAGAAAAAAATTGCAATCACAGTCCCAATTTTTTTTAAAAAGTGTAAGTAAGTCAACTAAATTATTAAAAGGGTAATTAGTACATAATACTCCTATATTTCACTGTTATTGCAAAAAAACGTCCATGTCTTTCATTTTTTTTTGACATTTCGATCCTTAATTACACATTTGATTGCGCAAACCATCATTTACATCTAATTTTTTTATATCCTTCTCAGGAAGGGGAATTGCTCCTCCGAACTTCTATAGAATTGTTGAGTTACAATAATTTTCTAGGTACTAGCGAGTGCTAGACAGTGAGGTTGCTCGGATTAGTGGATATGGTGGTCATTGGGGGCATAGTGATCATCTAAGATTGATATCCGATCTTAGATTGTCTTGTCAAAGGCCGTGGTTGGTCCATGAGGACAATGGTGATGAAAGTGGGAAAAATCATTAGTTCTTCACTTATTCATTTCCGAAGTTTTCTCTACTTTTACCCCGAAGTATTCATTGAAAATCATTAGGTTTAGCTCATTAACTTCTATATACAAAGCATTAGGTTTAATTCCTTTTTGAAATCATTCTTCTGGGTATTTATCTAATTGGTAGACCATGCATGATTATCTTTAATCATCATCATGATGTATAATCTAACACGAATTTTTGGACCTATACAATATTATTATCTTTCCCGTGAAATATGGGCAATCTTCTAATAAATAAATAAATAAATATGAATGCAATACCAATATAGAACTCGACTGAATAATAATGACTATATTTTCAATTTTAATTGGATTTTAAGCTTAGCGTTTAGAGCATGTCTGACTAAGCTTAAAATCCAATTAAAATTGAAAATATAACCGTTATTAGGTCTCACTCGTCAAATAAGAGTCAACAATAACGGCTAGTTTTTCAATTTTAATCCGATTTTAATCTCGAACACGTTGCTTAAACCTAGTAAAAAGATAAATGTGTATTAAAATAAAACAAATGCTTCAATTATTATTTAGTAAAATGTGACGCTGGACCTTTTAATCACTGTAATAAAGATTTTTTGAGTAAAATTGAGACTTTCACTATGTTTAGTGAGTTTGGAACATATTTGGTCCAAGAAGAATGTTTTTGTAAGGGCAATTTGCACATAACGTCTCCACCTTTTATTTTTTGGCATTTTCACCATTATTTTCACTTTTCATTGTGATAAAGGTCATTTTCACCTATTTTCTCAATTAAAAATTATGAAATGAAGCATATGCCACTTTCTTTAAATAAAACAAAAAGAAAAAAATTGCAATCACAGTCCCAAAATTTTTTAAAAAGTGTAAATAAGTCACAAATAAATTATTAAAAGGGTAATTAGTACATAATACTTCTATATTTCACAGTTATTGCAAAAAACGTCCATACCTTTCATTTCCTTGACTTTTCCATCCTTAATTACACATTTGATTGTGCAAACCATCATTTACATCCAATTTTTTTATATCCTTCTCAGGAAAGGGAATTGCTCCTCCGAACTTCTATAGAATTGTCGAGTTACAATAATTTTCTAGGTACTAGCGAGTGATAGACAATGAGGTTGCTCGGATTAGTGGATATGGTGGTCATTAGGGGCATAGTGATCATCTAAGATTGATATCCGATCTTAGATTGTCTTGTCAAAGGCCATGGTTGGTCCATGAGGACAATGGTGATGAAAGTAGGAAAAATCATTAGTTCTTCACTTATTCATTTCCGAAGTTTTCTCTACTTTTACCCCGACGTATTCATTGAAAATCATTAGGTTTAGCTCATTAACTTCTATATACAAAGCATTAGGTTTAATTCCATTTTGAAATCATTCTTCTGGCTATTTATCTAATTGGTGGACCATGCATGATTATCTTTAATCATCATCATGATGTATAATCTAACACGAATTTTTGGACCTATACAATATTATTATCTTTCCCGTGAAATATGGGCAATCTTCTAATAAATAAACAAATATGAATGCAATACCAATATAGAACTTGACGGGTTAATAACGATCATATTTTCAATTTTAATTGGATTTTAAGTTTAGAGCATGTTTGGCTGAGCTTAAAATCCAATTAAAATTGAAAATATAGCCGTTATTGGGTCCCACTCGTCTAATAAAAGTCAACAATAACGACTAGTTTTTCAATTTTAATCCGATTTTAATCTCGAATCGAACACGCCCTTAAATAAATGTCTTTACATATTTTTTTCTTTAATTTTACATAGATCAAGTAAAAAACCAAAAACTATGACGAAGATCAACGTAACCAAAGTGAAAAGAAATGGAAAATTGCCAAAAATAATTTGATCAACGTGCACCAATTTTTGAATTGACGAGGAGATTGACGTTGACCTAACAAAAGTCAGAAATTTTAGCAGATTCTCCAGTAAAATATCCAATATATTGCAATAAGGATTCCGTTTTACCAAAAACTAAGAAAAGCTTGCGCCACTGTTACTCAATCTGTCGTCCTCGTACTGAATCGGTTCCAAACTTTTAAAAAGGAGTAAATTGATTTCCATCCTTACAAAATTTGTCCAAATTTCTATAAAATCATCATGTGACTGTCACTTATCTAAGTTATGGAGATATATTTTGTTTATTAACGTGAGGCAGTGTTCACAAATTTGAGGTGAGGCGTGTTTTTATTATGGTCACAATTTACAAAGTGACTTAACGAGAAATTCGACAATTCATATTATTGAACACGACTTCGTAATTATAATATGGATGACCAACTAGCAACCAGGCCAAGAAGTTACGGACCAGTGATTCAATTTCCCCAAAAGTTAATGATATCTTGAATCAATTGGTGGCGAAATAAGAGGGAATTCGTTATTGTACGGGATATATCACACTGGAGGACTACCATGCAACAGTCTCTCTCTCTCTCTCCCCAAAAGTTTCCTATGTTCGATTTCTTCCATTTGTTTTTGAAACTGAGTGACAATTTTTTTTTGTGGTAAATATGTTCGATTCATTGAGATTTAGCCCCATCAAATTCAACATACTCTCTATTGTAACTTTTGCTTTGATCACCTTAGTTATTATTTCCGCTAACAGTTTGTTTTCTAATAATCTTTCAATCTATTGTGTTGCTGATGAAAACAGAAGCAATCATCGGGAGTTGCAGACTCATAAAATATCACAACTGTTGAAATCAACTTCGTCAGATGATCAAGTAAGGATTAAACTCACTGAAAAGGTTGCTGAAGAAAAAGGAAGAATCCCAGAACTGAAATTGTTTGAGTCTACGAATTTGATGCCAAAATTTGATTCTAGAGTTGGGAAATTCTTTAGCAGATACAAGTGCAAGGTACAGTTCTTCATGACATGGATTTCTCCGGCAGAATCATTTGGAAGTAGGGAATTCTTGGTCGTCGAGAGCCTGTTCAAAACAAATCCCACAGGATGTTTGATTATTCTCTCGAATACTATGGATTCTAGACGTGGATATAGGATTTTGAAACCTCTGATTAAACGTGGCTATGGAGTTGAAGCAATCACCCCCAACTTGTATTCGTTATTCAACAACACCCCATCTGAAAAATGGTTCAATGATATCAAAAATGGAAAAAGGGACCCTGGGGAAATCCCTCTGGCCCAGAATTTATCCAACCTGATTAGGCTAGCAGTTCTATACAAGTATGGAGGGGTTTATTTGGATACAGATTTTATCGTATTAAAGGATTTTTCGGGTTTGAGGAATTCAATTGGAGCGCAAAGTATTGATCTCAATGGAAACTGGACAAGATTAAATAACGCAGTGCTTGCGTTTGATAAAAAGCATCCTCTTCTGTACATGTTCATGGAGGAATTTGCTTTAACTTTTGATGGGAATAGATGGGGACACAATGGCCCATATTTGGTTTCAAGAGTGGTAGATAGGGTGGAAAAAGCAAAAGATTTTAACTTTACTGTTTTACCACCAATGGCTTTCTATCCGGTGGATTGGATTCGGGTGGCCAGATTTTTCGCCCGGCCTAATGGCCAGAATGGCGAGAAATGGATCGATGCCAAGCTAAGGCATCTCACGAGGGAGGCCTATGGGGTACATTTATGGAATAGGCAAAGTAATAGAATCAAAATTGAAGAGGGAAGCATCATAGATAGATTGATATCTGATCGCTGCATCATATGCAAACATACGTATAGTTCTTGAACAAACAGTTTATGTACGACGATGCATGGGTCGATGTGCACAGTGCCTAGTATTTATGGTGTACGAAAGCAATAATCTTGACTGGCGAAGCCGCTTAAGCTGGAGATTGTGACTCTTTACATGAATTCTTTTTTTAATTGCCCTGTACAGAATAAATTCTTTCTTTTTCCTCTCTATTATATTACCCAGTTTCTGTTACATAGTGAATAACTATTTGGCCAAAGTTTTCCAAAAACCTCATAATTATGTGTTAGAGAGAGCCTTTTTATGCTTTTGCGTAAAGTAAAAAATGTATTTATATAATTAAGTTGTAAACTTAATTATAGTTGTAATTGAAGTTCTAGGGTTACACATGTAATTAAATATAAACTAATTGGATTTGGACTTTAATTAAAGCTCCTACTTGGATTTTAATTAAGACTCCTATTTGATATTGGAATTATTATTTTACATGGATTGAAATATCTTTTATCGCTATAAATAGAAATTAGATGCACATAAAAAAAAAAAAACAAGAATCATAATACATAATTATATAGCGTTCAAATTTGGAGAGAGAAAAAGTGAGAAAATCATATTTTTTTATTGTCCAATTCAAAAATTAGTTTCTTGATTTAATTAAAAGAAGGTGATCACCCACCAGTGTAGTCTTGACTTCGGATAATACCATAAAAGACTTGGAAATTTGAAATATCAAGTGCTTGCAATTAGAAGCTGGAAGCTCGTGATCCAAAAAGTGGAAAGTTCGTAATTCAGATCCAATTTTAGAATTGATCAGGGAATTTAAGTAAAAATTCGAATTCCTAATTTTTGTTATAACATAAACGTAAACATTTAGACGATCTTGTTTATTGAATTAATTTTTTTTTAATTTCTAGATAATTCCGCTTCCGCATTCCAAACAGTAACGACATATAATGGTGTTTGTGGATGGTTTTGTGATAGTGGTAATGGTGTTGTGATATTGATTATGGTGAAATCGTGTGTATATAGATTAGGATGATGAAAGTGGTGATAACATGCTATGCTACTATGCGAATTTGAATTGTGGATGAAGATAGCATAACATTGAGTTGGGAAAGGGGTGCTGGTTGGGGAAAATAAGCTTGAGATGCTTAAGATGGGAGAAATTGGTGGATAGGATGGTGTTAGGATTTGGTAGGGTTGGACATCAGAACCAAACCGAACCAAATATTTGGATATTTAATTAATGGAAACGTCGGGTCCAAATATAATTATGGAACCGTTCAGGTTCGGTTCGGTTCGGTTCGGTTCCATACCATAATTAATTTTTTTTAATAGATTTCCAATGGTCAACGATCAGTGATCGTGGTTGGAGGACGCGACTTCGATGGGCATTGAGAGGGGAAGTCGGACTCAGCAGTCGGCGAATTCGATTTGGGCATGTAGATATATGTTTTCAATTTATCAAATGATTTAAGGTCATTAACTCAGTGGTTATCGAATAAAAGTGTGAAATTGGAAAGAGAATAATAAAAACTTAAAAAAGTTTAGATCTTGGGCTAAGAATGAAATTAATATAGGACCAAAAAATAAATCAAAAAATTGAATTTAGAAATTGGGTTGGATTGAGCTGGGCTAGCTAGGCATGAATTTGGCTTAAGAATTAGAACATTAATCACTAAATTAATTAATTAATTCAATATAAAAAAAATTAGTTAAATTCCGTTCTTATTCGATTCCTTGATTCTGGGTCTAGAACCGAACCGAACCAAACCCGCCGGTTCTTGATTCAGATATCCGTTCGGGTATTTAACTTATAAAGAACCGCTCGGTTCAGGTTCGGGTTCGGTTTGGTCCAATTCGGTTCTGGAGTTTTGTCCAGCCCTAGGATTTGGGATAGAATAACCAAGTAACACATGTAGTCATATATAACTATTCAAGTACATACCATGCAAAACAAAATAAGTAACATTTAGGATCCATTTGATTGCAATGGTGGAAAATGGGTAGAAAGAAAATGAATTTCAGATAAAATAATTGGCTAGAAAATGTTTTATAGAGAATTGTTAATTAAGTGTGTTTGATTGGTATAATTTTTCACCCGAAAAATTTTTAAGGTCGTGTTTGATAGGCCACATTTTCCGGGGAAGTAGGAAAATATTTTTCACTTTTTTGGCTGTTTGATAGGCGAAATTTTTCACGAAAAATATTTTTCGGATTTTCTCCGCATGTGTGCATTTTCCGGGTTTTTGATGAAAATATTTTCCTGGCTGGCTGAAATTTTTTTTTTGGCAATGGAAACAAATGTCATAACCAATGGTTAAAATTTTTTTTACTTTAATGGACAATTTTCATATAAAATAAAATCAAACGAACACTAAACTTTGATAAAAAATGATTTTTTAGGAAACAATTTTTTTTTTACTTTTTGGCAATGGAAACAAATTTTATAATCAATTGTGGAAAAAAAATATCACTTTAATGGACAATTTCCATATAAAACAAAGCCAAACGAATAGGAAATTAAAAAAAAATTCGGGTGGAAAATTATACCAATCAAACACACTTAATTAACAATTCCCTACAAAATATTTTCTAGGCAATTATTTTCCTTAAAAATCATTGTCTTTCCACTAATTTTTCACTCTTACAATCAAACGTACCCTTAAACTAAACATTTTCTAAGCAAATCTTTTCCATATAAAATATTTTCTTTCCACCAATTTTTCATTGCAATCAAACTCACCCTAAATTTTGTTTTCGTTTGACTTTATTTTACATTGAAATTGTCCATTAAAGTAAAATTTTTTTCACAATTGGTTATAAAATTTGTTTCCATTGCCAAAAAGTTTTACAAAAAAATTTATTTTTCTTTAAAAATTATTTTTTTCATCAAAATTTAGTTTTCGTTTGACTTTATTTTACATGAAAATTGTTCATTAAAGCGAATTTTTTTTACAATTGATTATAAAATTTGTTTCCATTGCCACAAAAAAAATAAAAAAAATAAAAACCTGGAATTGCTTTTCCCACCAAAAATGTGGGAAAATCAATTCAACAAAACTAAAGAAAATGTCCACGTGTGGGGGGTGGGAGGAAAAACCAATTCCCTAGAAAAAATGGCTATCAAACATGACAAATTGATGGAAATGAAAAATGTTTTCCATTTTTCATGAAAAATATTTGCTATCAAACACAACCTTAGTGAAAAGAGGTAACATCGAAAAGAGAAGTTCAAAACCTTCTATTCTAGTTTTTAGGACCTCATAGATAGTATGCGTCAATTAGAACATAATTTCTTGTTTCCACTTGTTCGGTAAAATGTACATTACTCGACAAAAAAACATGGTATTACCCTAAAATATTACTTTTTAATAAAAATTGACATATTTTAATGTTAATATATAAGTCAAATAGTATCACATATGTTACCCGAACATGTAAACCGTAAACGTGTGATTTCTAATGAAAAATTGAATTTTTATTTGTATTTTTTTTCTTAATTATAAAAAGTCGTAGATGGTACAATAGTAATTTTTAATGAAAAATAAGGTATTTTTAATATTTCAAAGAAAAATAGGGTAAATTGATGGATGTGTTATTTCATGTGTCAAAAGTACGCTGGAATTAATTGAAAGGGTCATGCTATGTGTACATAGGTGTATACATAGGGATTGACATGGTCACACCCCACTCACATTATGTCAATCCCCGTGTACACACCTATCTACAAATAAATTAATCCTAATTGGAACGTACTGGGCCTAATTATCCCAAAATTAAATTTAGAAATTGGGTTAGATTGGGTTGGGCTAGTTAGGCATGAACTTGGATTGGGAGTTAGAACATTAATAACTAAATTAATTAATTAATTCTACATAAAAAATATAAAAAATTAGTTAAATTCAGTTTTTATTCGATTATTTGGTTCTGGGTCCAAAACTGAGAATCGAAAGGAACTCGTCGGCTCTCAATTCAGATACATGTTCAGGTATTTAACTTATGAAAAATCGTTCGATTCGGGTTCGATTTGATCCGATTCGATTCTGGAGTTTTGTCCAACCCTAGAATTTGGGATAGAATAACCAACACATATAGTCATATATAACTCTTCAAGTACATACCATGCAAAACAAAATAAGTAACATTTAGGATCCGTTTGATTGTAAGGGTGGAAAATGGGTTGAAAGAAAATGAATTTCAGAGAAAATAATTGCCTAAAAAATGTTTTATAGAGAATTGTTAATTAAGTGTGTTTGATTGGTATAATTTTCCACCCAAAAAATTTTTATATTTTGTTTTCGTTTGGTTTTGTTTTATATGGAAATTATCCATTAAAGTAATTTTTTTTCCACAATTGGTTATAAAATTTGTTTCCATTGTCAAAAAGTAAAAAAAAAAAATTATCATCAAAATTTAGTTTTCGTTTGACTTTTTTAATATGAAAATTGTTCATTAAAGTGAAATTTTTTTACAATTGGTTATGAAATTTGTTTCCATTGCCACAAAAAATAAAAAATAAAAAACCTGGAATTGCTTTTTCCACTGAAAACGTGGAAAAAATCAATTCAATAAAACTAAAGAAAATGTCCACGTGTGGGGGGTGGGAGGGAAACCCAATTCCCTAGAAAAAATGGCTATCAAACACGACAAATTGATAGAAATGTAAAATATTTTCCATTTTTCTTGAAAAATATTTACTATCAAACACAACCTTAGCGAAAAGAGGTAACATCGGAAAGAGAAGTTCAAAATCTTCTATTCTAGTTTTTAGGACCATATAGATAGTATGCGTCAATTAGAACATAATTTCTTGTTTCCACTTGTTCGGTAAAATATACATTACTCGACAAAAAAACATGGTATTACCCTAAAATATTACTTTTTAATAAAAATTGACATATTTTAATGTTAATATATAAGTCATATAGTATCACATATGTTACCCGAACATGTAAACCTTAAACATGTGATTTCTAATGCAAAGTTGAATTTTTATTTGTATTTTTTTTCTTAATTATAAAAAGTCGTAGATG